CCCCACTGTTTTCAGCAATACTGTGCTAGTATTTTCCAAGTTTCCTGGTTTGAACTGGAACTCTGAGCAGCAAAATATAGTACTATCAAATCCAGGGAATCTGTATTTTTAAACTAGTATTCCTGAGTCTCTTTGGTGGCTGAGGAAACATGGCTGCCATTCTAACTGCTTACACAAGAGGGCATACTCTGTACCTTAAACAGAATTGCATGTCTTCATGTCAGCTGGTTTTGTAAGGCTTTTGGGAATACTTAAATGCTTCAGCCCAAAGCAATCGGGCAGACAGATCTGCAGATTTTGCAGGCAAAGCAGTTKTTTAGACTCCTAGCTAATTGTGACAACCACTAGTGAATATTAACACAATGTTGCTACACCAGTATTTTTTTGTTCTTTTTAACTTGCTGATATTTTGGTGGGGGTCTTTTAACTGCATGATTTACTAAATGGATAAGCAAGAATGTTTATTAAAAATAACTTTAAACAGCATTTTTATTTAAATGGATAAATAAATCTGATTTCCTCTTATTAAAACAGTAATTACAAAGAAGGTTATGATTAAATACATACTAGATCACTTCAGATACTCATTTTAGAATAACAACAAATCCAGACATTCAGACAGCTAAAAGATTATTGTGGAATGATGGAAGTCGCTGGTTAAGAATATGAGGGAAATAGCTTCTGATGCAGGTACAGAGGGAATAAACTTGTCAGTCTGAGTAGTGCCATTTGACAAGTGATCTGAGCAACCAGACATTAAAAAAAAAAGATTTTTTTTCTCAGTGTATGAATAAAAATAAAGTATGAGGAAAATGTGTTCTAGTGTTTTTAAAATATTGAAGAATCAACCATTTCATTTTAAAGGAGATATTTTCTGTACCTTGTTTTGTTTATACTTTGTGTTGGTGTTTAATAATTCAGTGTTTGAGTAACGTTTCTTTCCTAGTCATCCAATGCACTTATTTCACAAACTAATGCTTAAATGTGTTGTTCATGTGTCTCATTTGTACTACAGGGCAAACAGTGTGACACAAATTATGCCTGAAATAACTGAGAAAAAAGTGACATTATTCATAATTAATAACTGAAGAGAATTAGTATATGCATGTCTTTTAAATAACTGCTATACATTTATTAAATAGAAAAGTGGTAAATTTTGTGCATATTGTTAAATTAATAATCATTGCAAACTATTGAGTTTGCAACCGATGAAAATCAGTCTTATTAGAGGAAGTGTTGTAAGTGTGAAGACAAAACAAGATTGAAAAGAAAACTAATCATCGAAGATTATACGAGTTGATTTGAGCCACTTCAAGTCTGATGTGCAGAAAACWGGTCTGCCTTCATGTAGGGCTCAGATGGCTCTTTCTGTAAGCGAGGGAAATGTAGACTAATGATTTCAAAGTTGCTCTAAATGCATTTTTTTATCAAAAAGGCATCTCTGGTGGATAGRGGCAAATCCCTCTATAACACTGCTCTGTGTTTTCGTATGTTTAAAGCAGAGCTTTTAGATTCCCATTTCAGAAAAGAAAAAAAAAAAGGGAGGGAGGAGGAAGATGAGTAGGACGTTTTTTAATTTCTAATTTGTAGTTTTGAAATACTGCCCTGAATCACTTGGAGATGCAAGTCACTGACTTCAGTGGAATTTACATAATTTGCACTGACTGATAGTATGTCTTCGATCTAGGCTAACAAATAGGCTAACTAACAGGTGATATTAAAAAGAGGTGCAAAATCTTTGTGGAATTAGGGGATATTGGAAAGTAACAAATATATTGGTCTCTACCA